TTTTTTTTTTTTTTTTTGTGGAACCAGGGATTGAACTCAGGCCCTTGTGCTTGCCAGGGAAGCACTTATTCCACTGAGCCATCTCCCCAGCCCCATGAGCCAACTTTAAAAAGTCAAGTGTAATACCTAAAAATAAAATGCTTTATCAAAAAAAAAAAAAAAAAAAAAAAAGATTCACTCCTTGCTGGAAAAAACCCTAAATGTTAACACAAGGATTTTAACACAATTGACTACAAAATAAGATTCCTTTAGCCAGGCCTGGTGGCGCATGCCTACAGTCCCAGCACTCGAAGCCTGAGGCAGGAGGATTGCTGGAAGTCTGAGGCCAGCCTGGGCTGCAAAGTGAGTTGAAGTCCAGATGGAAATGTATAGCAAAACCCTGTCTCAAAAAAGTCCATTTAAATGAAATTGTGAGAAAAAGGCAAATATACAGATTATTGGTCTCAGGGTTGAGTGGGTAATGAGAAGAATGACAGCAATGAGCAGGAGGACTTCCCCCATTTCCACTGGGTGGAAATGATTTGCTCATTTGCGTGATGTTCACACAACTTTGGTAAATTTATTTAAAAATCATGGAAATGTACACTTAAGATGAATAATTTATATAATATGCAAAATTTATCTCAGTTGGTTATAAAAATAAATGTTTATGGTCTATTGAAAGGAACAGTTAATGCTTACTTTTTTTCTTTTAAAAATTTTTTTGACCAGTTTTGCATGCTTATATTTAATAATCTGAACAACAAATTTGAACACAACAATATGCAATATAACAACTATTGTGGGATTCCTATCATTTTGTTAGTGAAATTACATATTGTTTCTAATATTTTTATTATCTTAAAAAATAAAAAAATAGAAATAAATTTACAATTAAAAAAGAGAGAGAGAAAAAAGAGAAAGATCTGGGAACAGTAGAAGCCAAGCCATCTGTGTGTGTAGAACGACAGCAAGTGGCACTTTAACTCATCAGCGTGTGGCTCATGTCCCTCTGCTTGCATCCAGGTGGAGCTGGAGCTGTACGACTTCTTCTTTGAAAGAAATGCGCCCATCACGGTCCACATCTCGATCAGAACAGCAGACACCAATGCCCCACGAGTGTCCTGGAATACGGGTGAGGCTCCCAGGAGCTGTCAAGCCACAGGTTCCAGGGAACAAAAGTAGGGGGGTTGGGAAAGAAAGGGAGTTGAATTCCTGTTTTACAAGTGAGGTAACTGAAGCTCATAGCTTTAGGGCATCAGGTAGCTCTTCTCTACTTGCTTTTATTTTGTGCTTTTCTAGTGACAAGCTAAGAAATTTAAATTCAGCACTGTTGTATTCTGAGGCTACCTTCCCTCAGTGGTAGGAGATAAGCCAAAAGAACAGCTTTCAACTTTCTTTCATTTACATATTGAAAGTCTTGATCTAATTTCTCTAGAAACAGACTGTGAAGCCGATCACATGTACTAACCATGTACTGAAGAGTACAGTGAGAAGCAAGTGAAAGGTGCCCCTTTCCATCACTATAACTAGCACCTGAGATAATCAATTTAAAGGGAGGAAGATTTACTTTGACTCGCAGTTTGGAGGTTTCAAACCTAACTAGTTGACTCCTTTGCTTTGGGCCTGTAGTAAAGCCACACACCATGGCGGAAGTACAGTGGCGAAGCAGAATTGCTCAGCTTTGGGCAGGAAACAAAAGGCTAGGAGGAAGAAAAGACCAGGATCCCCCTGCGTTCTGCAAGGTCACACCTCCAGTGACCTAAAGACATCCTTTGGGTCTCAGTTCTTAAAAGTTCCAATGCTCCCAACAGTGTATCCTGGGAACCAAACCATTAGCATAGGGAACTTCAAGGACATTCAAGACCGAAGTATAGCAGGTGGGATAGCTAAGCCAATGGTCTCCTCATACAAAGCAGAGGGATCATTCTGTAGTGCTGATGCTTCCGGGATGGAGAGGGAGCCTTTGTGTCTAGGAGGAGATGAGGGTAGCTGGGGAAAGGGTGAGCAACTGGTCAGTTCCCAACTCGGAGGCAGAGAAGACCCTTGAGGGTGCTGCAGCTCACTGTTCGAATCCTGATCACTGAATGCTGTCTGTATTCTTGCCGTGATAAGCAAGCAAATCTCTCACCATACCTCTGTTGCGCAGGTTCCAAGCACAAGGTTTTATTTTTAGACCATTAATTACAGACCTTAGTTTCTTATTGGAGTCTACTTTAAGTACAGTAACAGTGTTAAACATGCCGGAGAACAGCAGCTCTTTGTCAGTATAATGAGTCACATTTCATCTTCTGTTCTACAGGCTATGTATACTTCCATAAATTACATATAAAAAGCACTTTACGACTCTTGTCCACTTAAGCATCTGGATGTCATCTCTGAAAAAATCCGTGTGGACTTTTTTTTGTGGAGATCACTGTGGACATGACTTATTTAATTTGATTGGTATTTAAATACCAATATTTAATTTGTTTTGGTATTTAATTTGATTTTTAAGGATGTATCATAACTGTCAAGTTGCCAGATTAGAAGCAGTAGTACTAAAAATAAAATTAATACTAAAAACACAAGCTACATTCAAAGTTCTTGAAATGCATCTGAAAAAACAACTTTCAGATGGTTTGGTGAATGAAAATTGATTAATCTCCTTAAGCAGCCACGTTGGACACCGCCTAACTCTGCGGGACACCTCTCTGCTTCCTCTCGTAGGTCTGCATCTCCTGGAGGGGCAGTCTCGGCCCATCACTTGGGAACAGTTTCAGATCGTTGACAATGACAACATTGACGCCGTGCGGTTGGTCGCTGTTGATGGCCTGCAGCATGGGCGGCTTACAGTCAGAGGTGAATGACCTGCCCTGCAAACTAAGAAGGAATCTCTCGGGTGTAATCTCTAAGTGCAGTTGGCATATGCAGAAAACGAAGAAGTCTTGAGGTTGTCTGCTTCTGTGTAGGGTACGCAAGTCAGTGTGTGACACTTGTGAACAGGGGCTTGTATTTGGCACAGGTTGGCCCTCCGGATGTCATGTAGGGCATCTTCTAGGTATGCCCCATAGCTAATTCTATTTTTCCTTCAGAAAAATTATCTCCCTCTGATTTCTTGGTTTTGGGAAACACACTTAAAATAGAAAAACTTTCTTTTAACACTTCAGTAATAATGTTATAATGTTATTACTAGCTGTCATAAT